CCGTGACTAGGTCCTTCTGACCTTGACATCACAGAATCACCGGGATAGGGGGGAGGGTGGAAAAGGCCTTGATCTTCCGGTAGCCAGAAAAAAGGGAGGGCCGCTTGCCCCCTAGACGCGCCATCCCTCTTCCCGCCGGAGTCCTCCGCCTCTGTTTACACACGGAGGAGGTGTCGTCTCCAGTCTAGACAGGGGCGCTAATAACGCCCATAAAAGGCGGCCTCTCCAGAGAGGCTCTGGTAACTCAGCTCCTGATCGCCTGCCGCTGACTGCTCCCTCCGCCTCTGGCGCCCCGCCTCTCAGATACCTTGGCCGAGCCGGTGGGCAGCAGTGTGTGGCGGGGGAGGTGTTTCAGAAGGTTTCTAGAGGATGATAACCCCTACCCCTCGCCCTTCTGAGCCTCCTCAGTCACCAAAGGTAAGTGGACCCCTGCGCTTCCAGCCCAACCAGTATATGTGGGGGGTGTGGTAACAGAACATTCTCCCACCCCCAACAACCTTCTGGGCTACTCCAACCTGAAACATACCCCTCTCTCCGCACTGGGACGCTGGGTTTTTGGAAACAGCTGAGTCGCTGTGTTTGGCAGAACCTAAGCATATCTCCGTCCTCTCCAAGGCCTGGGCCTAGCCAGTGGGCACTATCACGGACAAAGGGCCAGGCTGAGGAATGAGGGTACTGGAAGTAGTTCTGCCCCTTCCCCAGCCCAGCTTCCAGGTGCATGAAACCAGGCCTGGGGCTCTCCCCTGGTTACAGTAGCAGTGGGTGTGGCATTTATAGGCGTGTTTTTGTTTTTGATTTTTTTTTAACTTGGTCCCCACACCTTTCCTGACACTCAGTAATTCACTAGGCGAGGAGATCCTCTGCTGGCGGAGGGGGAAAATGTCAGAGCTGACAGTCTATTTAATTGTTAGCACTACAGGAAAACCTCGGAGACTATAAGAAGAGACGTCTCTCACAGAGGTGCACATGATGGGGAGTCTTCCAAATGTTCACTCCTAGGGGTCTCGCCACCTCCCAGTTTTCTGAGTGGAAAGTGAAAACTGAGCTGGGATATTTTGATGGAAGGGAACCCAGAGGAGCCTGAGCCTGAAAGACTGCTTGAGCTTCCAGGATTAGTCCAAGCTTCCACTTCCAGGTTGTAGATCCCTAGAAAGCAGCCACGGAGCAGGCGATCTCCCAATTTGATGCTTTGGTTTAGGGCACTTGCAGGAATGGTGGAGGCCAGATGGACTCCATCCCCTAGAGGAACCAGTGAAGAGTCCAATTAGGAGGGAGGGAGAGCCCTCCCTCTACCCTATCCCGTAGCCTTATCTGAATGTGAAAAAGGTCTATCCCAAGCCTGAATAGTCCCAAAGGGATCAGATATGGGGCAGCGAGTGAAGAGAGCCCCCCCCCCCATCATTTTTCTTTTCCTTCGTAGAGCTGCTCCTGCTTACGTCCCTACAGGAGCGGGGCCCTGCCTCATTTGCATACGCAGCGAGCCCTTTCTGCAAACTAGGCAGTGACCTTGAACCGGGTCTCTATGGCCTCAGCTCACCAAAGAGAACGCAAAAGAGAACCAAATTCTCAGTTTAGGATTAGCAGAAGAGCCCAAATGCAGCCTCATCACAGCCGCTATGCCTGGACCACTAGAGCCTGTGGAGATTTTATAATTAACTTCTGTCTACCCCACAGCTGTAGAGGCCGAAGATGCGGGCGGGATGGAGGCATAGAGAAGTACGGGGAGGTAGAGGGACATCCTGCTGGTAAATGATCTTGAAGGAGGCTAGCTGCCTTTCTTGGGTCTTCAGGGGAAGCCTTGGACTATATCCTTGCCTTCAGCTTTAATTAACCCCTGAGTTAATGAACAGGGCATGCCTGAGTCTGGCCAGCTGTGACGGAAACCAGACATGCGACCCCTTCGAGCCCCGAGATTTGATGAATGTAAGGGAGAGTTCTGAAGCATCAATTGTCCCTCTGTTGACCGATGGAGATGATTTTGCGTGTGGGCAGCGGAGTGACAGCGGATTAAACCCGACTAAACACGGCTACCGAAAGCCTGTCCTGGTCCCTCACTTAGCCTCAGCCGGCTCTTGGGGAACAGCTTTTGATGAGCTGGATTTAGAGTTGAAGCGCACCCTAGCCTCCCGCCGGGCCTGGGGATCCAGATTGGGAGTGGTGTTTTTGTCCGAGCCCGGTTCAGAAACTGGTCGGCTAAGCTGCGCGTTCTGCCAGGTTACCTAGAGGCATACAGAGCGATCCTGATGCTCAGGGAAACTGGACGCTTAGGTCGCCAGGGTCCTCAGGGTCGCCTGAAAACCCCTAAATTTGCAAAGTCTTGAAGAGCAGGACTCTGGTAACAGGGATTTTGCTGAGATCGGTAGTCAGCTTTCCTTGACAGAAATTAGCATGTGTTCCTCGCAAGGAAGCCTGTGCCAAGTCTGAAACCTGGAGAAAATGGTTTTGTCAGGGTCAAATCATGCTGGGAGAAATGCGTCTCTGAAGAAGGAACCCCTCTCCTCCCGTTCTCATCTCCCCTGACGTTGCCTCTGCCGCCCTGTGGCCGCCGCTCAGCAGTGGTGACCCAGGAGAGCAGCGAGAAAAGCTCCTGGCCTGAGATTTTTGAGCTGTAGAAAGATGTGGAGAAGCTAAGACCTTCTTCTTGAGGTCCCTTTTCACGGAGATTAGGCGATTAGCCTTGTCCGAAGGGAAACCAGAATGGGGAGAAGACTCCACCCAACAAAGGCTAGTGGCTAACGGCAAAGCCAGCTCCGCATCCCTCACACCAACAATAGCGGCAGAGCGCCGAGGCCTGGAGAGCCTGGGCGGAGACCTCGCTGCCAAGCGTAGTGATCTGATTGAAATCTGTAGTATTGAGATCACATCCTCTTTATCTTTATGATCAAAATGACCTTCAGATAATTTTTTAAAACTAGATGTTCATGTACACGCAACGAATCTTGAAAACGGAGAAATAAATGAAATTCGGGGATGCCGTGACGTGAGATCTGTGGCTGAGGTATAGATACTCTCTCTGCAGCCTTACAGCCCCTTAATAAATTACGCACAAAAAGACCACTGCAGGCCGGATCTCCTTCTGATTCTGAGTGAAGGTTGACTGCAGAGGCTGGCATCCCACCGGCTGGACCTCGGTGCTTCCAGCTTGTGGGCCAGGCGCTGGGCGGGTTCCTGGGGACGGGTGGGGCCAAGCAGGCTGCCAGGAAGGCTCGGGCGGGGGAAGGAAAACCGGCCAAGCGGGGCGAGGGGCGGGCGCCAAGCTGCGGGCTGCTAGCTGCGCGGGGCAGGGCGGCGCCCGCGGGGACACATTTCTGTCGGAGTGAGAGGCTATGGTTTGGGATATGAAATCGCTCCGGGAACAGTGGAATTCAAAGAATCTGCGTTTCTGCCGCGTCCTGCACAGGAGAGAGGGGCGGAGAGAGAAAAGAGGGCGATGAGAATCTTCTGCGATTCGGTCTGCGTTTTGTAGCTTTGGCTAATTCCCAGATATTTCACTTTTACCTACATTCCTTCATATTCTCTCTCTCTCTCTCTCTCTCTCTCTCTCTCTCTCTCTCTCTCTCTCTCTCTCTCCAATTCTCTGAAAAAATCGTCATGATCTTTTTAACATGTATACGTTGTCAAACTATTTATTCAACCTTGAACAACTGAAGTTCAAAATAATCAGAAATGGGAGTTTCTGATTATTCTGCTATGACACTAATAAAATGCATCTGATTTGAACTGTTTTTTCTCTTGCTGAGCTGCTCGGTGCCCCCGCTGAAATCTCAGTGTGGATTTGCAGATGTTCATTGTCATCAACAGCCAGCGCTAGCTTCTCAGCCTTCTCTGGACCTTCTTTGCACCATAAGTGGAATTCTGAACCCCCAACAGGACACTTCTCCAAGATTTTCCCTCACTCTTGTCCCACCTTAGAACGCAAGCCACCCCTGGCCTCTGCGCTGCTCCATAATGGCCCCAGCAGCCAGCCTGCAGGTTGTGGGGTGACCTCCTTGACTGTAGGAATATGCAGTCTTTCAGGCCAGCGGGTTTCTGCTGAGCGCTGACAGCCTCTGTCACAAAGACCAGGAGACTCCTAGAAGCTCCTCAGTCCCTAGAAGTCACACCGGAAAAGTAGTTCAAGCCACCCCCCAGATTTTCAAGAGCAGGCAAACGGGTCCACACTGAGCTCAGCACCTTCGTTTGTTCTTCTCTCTGCCTCCGCTTTCTTCCTCTTCCGGTGAAGGGAGGCTAAGGTGGCTCCAGGCTGGGGTTGGGGTTACAGAAGAGATAGCATTATCAATTCCCCCTAAACCTTCCTTGTGTGAAAGAACCCCAAACAGCTCTTCATACCCTAAGAAGAAAAAGGCGATGTTCTCTCGAGAACTCAGCAGCGCGGCAGGGCTGAGAGATAGCTGCAGGGAAACCTGTTCTCACCCCCACTTCGCCTCTACTGTAAATAAACCCCGAGCCAAAGGGCTCATCCGTCTCCTTAAACAGCCAGTAAACTTTATATGACACAATATCTAATAGTAATTTATTGGGGGAGATATTGTAAATTCCAACGGTTTTAGTTAATAAAGGAGCTAATTAAAGAGGGACGGGCTGTACTCGGCCAGCTGTTGGTGATAAGATAATACATCTGGGGGGGGGTTGCAGGGTGCAGAGGTGTGTATGTGCGGATATTTTTGGTGTCGCTTTTTTTTTTTTTTTTGGTTTCGCCCCGCGTCGGGCGATCGCTTCCCAGTCTGCGTTAAGGTTTTATATGATTTTTAAAAAACCAGAATCCAACGAATAAATCTGCTCCTGCCTGTCTCTCCTCCCCCCCCCCACCCCTAGGATTGGGGAAGGGGGAAGTTGGAGTTAGTGCGGGGAATGTGGGTGGGGGGTTCGGTTGTCCCCACCCCTCCCCCTGGCGGTAGCGCCCACGTGAGTAAGGCGGCCAATGGGTGGCTTGTGCAGGTTTAACTATGTTTAATGTCAGATAGCAATAAAGTAGAAGCTGCCGGTCAGGCCCCGCGGAAATGGGCGAGCATAATCTCCTGAATCCTGGGTTTGTGGGACCGCTGGTGAACATCCACACAGGAGACACCTTTTACTTCCCCAACTTCCGCGCGTCAGGGGCGCAACTCCCCGGGCTGCCTTCGCTGTCCTACCCACGTCGCGACAACGTGTGCTCGCTGCCCTGGCCGTCCGCCGAGCCGTGCAATGGCTACCCTCAGCCCTATCTCGGCAGCCCGGTGTCGCTCAACCCGCCTTTCGGCCGCACGTGCGAGCTGGCTCGCGTGGAAGATAGCAAGGGGTACTACCGCGAGCCGTGCGCTGAGAGCGGCGGCGGGGGCCTAAAGCGGGAGGAGCGCGGGCGCGAACCCGGAGCAGGGCCCGGAGCAGCGCTGCTGCAGCTGGAGCCGTCGGGGCCGCCTGCTCTCGGCTTCAAGTACGACTACACGGCGGGCGGCGGTGGTGGTGACGGCGGCACGGGACCCCCTCACGACCCACCCTCGTGCCAGTCACTGGAATCCGACTCCAGTTCGTCCCTACTCAACGAGGGCAACAAGGGCGCCAGCGCGGGCGACCCTGGCCCTCTGGTGTCGCCGTTGAACCCAGGCGGCGGGCTCTCAGCCAGCGGTAAGGACCCCAGCCCACTTGTGCGGCTTACTCTGACAGGACATATTGCCAGTGTTGGCAGGGGAGACCTGAGCTGGGGCTGCCTGGGGTGACAGAATGCGTGGTGAGCTAGCGCTTCTTTTAAAAAGAAGTGGGGGGGGGGAACCCTATAAACATGTAAATATCCCCATAAAAGAAGTGGAGAGATTTCCTTTTTCGCTCCTAGTGGCTGTAGGGGGCAGGGAGCTCCAGAGAACGGGGATCCTGACTGGGACTTCCCCAAGCCTGGGGGTAAAGAGGTGGAGGAGAGTTCATTCCTATTTTCCAGGGCGCCTTTCCTCCTGCTTTCCCATAGGCCTCCACTACTCATTTCTTATTTTAAGAAACACAACCAACACAATTTATTCTTTACCGCTCGCCCACGTCTTTTCTAACTGATGGGGATCTGGTAGTCCCTGATGATGTAAGGAGACCAGGCCAGAAATTTAAATAGTAATAATAACAATAATAATGGAAGAAAAAAATGGACATGAGATTTTGGAAGAAGTGAGGAGATAGAAAAGCTGTGGATACTACTGTGGGAGGTAGAGTTGAGGCACAGAGTGAAAGCGTTGGAGGGACTGATGAGGTGATGGATTGCTGAAGATGGTCTGGGTAAAGGCTCAGGATGCCTAGAGATGAGAAGGGAAAGGAATGATCTGGTCCGGTGTGGGAACAGGGTGAAAGGGTCTGTGAAAGGGCCCAGGGCACTGAGCTAGTCACCCCCTGATCCTCTGGCCAACCCTGCGGTTCATCTCCACCCAGGCGCGCCCTGGTACCCGATCCACAGCCGCTCGCGAAAGAAGCGTAAGCCGTATTCGAAGTTGCAGTTGGCGGAGCTGGAGGGCGAGTTTCTGGTCAACGAGTTCATCACACGCCAGCGTCGGAGGGAACTCTCGGACCGCTTGAATCTTAGTGACCAGCAGGTCAAGATTTGGTTCCAGAATCGGAGAATGAAAAAGAAAAGACTTCTGCTGAGGGAGCAAGCTCTCTCCTTCTTCTAGGAGACAGGACACGCGTGCTAGCCCCAGACCGAGCTTGCCTTGGTGGAGCAAGAGGGGGCGCAGCCTGGGACACAGTCCCGCTTACAACGCCAGGCCTCTGGCAGGCTCTCCCTGGACGTCTCTTGTCTGTTTTGTTCGTGTTCCCTCCCACACACCCCCACCCCCAGCAGGCCCTGCGGGTCCCGAGAGAAGGGAATAAACCTAGCCAGAGAAGGCAGACGCCCAGAGGGGCAAGGGCAAGCTGGGACACTGTGGAGGGGTGGTTTATTTGAGGCCGGACTGGAGTGCCGGGCCTCCCGCTGAGGTAGTGGGAAAATAGCAGCTCAGACGTACAGACAGACAGACAGACAGACAGACAGACACACACACACACACACACACACACACACACACACACACACACACAAAACCTTCCTCCACCTCCCTTTCTGGTCTTAAGTCTGTATACTTGGAGGACCAGACCAGGTTGGTGGTAGTGGAATCAAGGTGCCCAAACTCATAACTGATGGAGTTGTGAGTTGAGAGGTGGGAGCTAGAACAGAGAAGATCAGTGGACAGAGTTGGGGGCGGGGGCAGAGAACTGTGGCAGAGTTGGAGGAAGCTGGGGACCGACCAAGGAGGAAATGTGGTATGAGAGAACGGTCCGGGGTCTGCAGAGTCCTCCAGGCCTGAGCACTGGGTTGGCTGAAGTGTCTGCATTTGGCAGACTAACCCGAAGGAAGTAAACTAATCAGCTTTAGGTCCTCTCCCGGACCGATCTAGAAAAGTCTCTCCAGGACCTCAGCCCGCTGCTAAGCTCCCCCGGCTTGTCCCAGGCAAACACAGCTCACAGGTGTGCTAGCCACTCTTTCCTTCACTTATGCGGCTGCGGATTGGAAGCGGCAAAGCGGGAACTGAGAACCAAACTCACACGGAGGGGGTTCTGTAGCCATCCCCAGAGACCCCCACCTGGCCCTCCAGGAAGCCCAAAGAGGTGGTGGAAGGGATTGCGGAGAGCGGCATTGATTGGCAGGGAGTGTTTCCGGCAACTACAGCAGCGGCCCGCTGATTCTCTCTTCCCGCTGGCGTTCACGGTCACGGCCGGCCGGAGGCTGGACCGGCGTAATTTACGAGGCGGGAGGAGAATCTGCCCTTAAAGGGGCTACGGACAGCAGAGGCCCAGCTCAACCCGATTCCCAGGCTGGTGACAATGAAGGAGGGGGAGCTGCAATTCCCCACCCAACTCCTTTCTCTCTATCCCCTACCCGCCCCCCAACATCGCCCTTTGTCTCAGGACCGGCTGCCTCCGCCTCCTGCCCAGCTAGCCACAGAGTACAGGGGCCAGAGCTGAGGAAGGAGGGGCGCATCTCCAGGTCCAGTTGGAGGCCAAAAAGGAAGGCTTTTTATGCATAGATCCTTTCAGCCTCCAGCCCCAGCCCCAAAGTTCCGAGGCTAGCCGGCTCTGGAAAGAACAGGCCAGATAACCCACCAGCCCTCCTGCACCCTGTTTTTACTCTTCCCATCTGCTGTCTTACTCCGGTGGAAACACAGGGCTGAGAAGCAGGAGACTGACAGAGCTATGTGCAGCTTGGGCAGTGTGAAACTGCCCACTGAGGTGAGGGGAGTCTTCCCACTCTCCAAGGGCAAGCCACAGAATGTTGGGCTCCCCCAGTAGCACATGGCTTCAAGTTTGTTTACAGGGTTGTTCAGAGACACAAGCAAATGTATATACACACAGATGAGCCCAACAAACCATTGGGTCCAAACCCTCTCCCTTCTACGCTTGCAAGCAGGCAGCTTCTTGGTCTCCATTTGGCTCAATAGAGAGGAGAGTCAATCACATGCCTTGATCCTCCTTTGGGCACCTGACACATCTTGCCATCACTACACATGTTCATCTATGTACAAGTTCCCAGAAAACATCTCACTCCAGCTGTCCACACTGTCTCTGTGGGCTGGCTATGGGAATGAAGTACTATTCTCCCCCCTCCCCATCTGTATCCCCTTGGTCAGCTCTTCCAATGACTGGTGGGCTCTAGAGTGTTGGATTCAAGCTCCACAACTCCGATTTGATTCCTAAAGCCTGGTAGGAAAGAGACTAGAAGACTCCAAAAGGAAGGGGGCAAAGTTATGCAATATTCTCTTTCCTTTGCTTTAAACTTGACTTCTGTGAACTTCTTTGTCGGTATCTGTCCTGTTGATTGTGTCTCTAGTACCTACTGTAGTTCCTTGGTAGTCAGCATCCTCTACCTCTGTCCCCAGATCTGTGTAGTGTACCCCCTCCCTATTCAAGCATCTGTCTGTAGCACGTTTTCCCTTTATATAGTCTTTGTACAGAGCTGCTTCATCATGTTAATATTAATAATTAAAACATGGATGTATGACGATGTGATGTTTTGAAAACCATTTCTAAAACCATACTGTCTTCTTCCTAGAAAGAACAGGAGCCCTGGGCCCTTAGCTATTTATTTTATTTTCTCCAGTTCAGGCGAATGACAAAAATAACACATGTATAATAATAAAGAAAGAGCAGTTGCATGGGTAACAAAAATATATGACCAACCAAGATCTGTTGATGAGCTACCATATTTAGTCCCAAGCAATTACTGACAGAGAGAAAATTGGGGGGCGGTAGACTGGGGAAGGAGAGGAAGTTCTGAAGAGTCACTGGGCTGTAAAAATTAATGTGGACAGCCTGGGGGTGGCTTCAGAAAGGAGGTCTGCATGGCAGGAACTGAAAAAAGCAAAGCCAGGAAAAGGGGGGCAGTGAGAGTGTTCTGGGGACTGGCATGTGGTGGTTGGCGGTTGGTGGACCTAGAGCTGCAACTCTATGGTTCGAATCTGGTAACTTCACTCTGAGAAGATAGTTTGTGTGCTGTGAAATAACTAGGCAAGGGACAAAAGAAATAGTCTAGAGCTGGTGAAGTAGTCTCCAGTTCTTGAAGCCAGCAACCTCCTCAGGGCCTCTCCAGAGCCAGGGCTTTCTCAAAGCTGGGGTGGGATGCACTGTTCCCCTGAAGAAGCAGCACCTCCACCCAATTCTTCTTCCTCTAGGAAATGCCTTCCACCTGCCAGGACACTTCAACCTCCCTCTTGCTCTCCCCTCAATTACCCTTTCTAAATCGTCTGACTCCAGTCTTGGGAGTCTCCTTCAAATTCTTCCACCTTCTTTCCATGCTCTTCTTTCCAGGCATGGAATAGCAGGGTCGCCCAGTGGAGTCAACTATTCCTCCAGCACGGGAATCTCTCTCCTCCTTCCTTATGCCCCTAACCAGAGAGAGTAACACATTTAAACCAAATCCCATCCTCCCTTTACTCCAAATTCCCAACTCCCTTGTAGAGCCTGGGCGCAGGTAGGAAGGAGACCTAAAGCCTTGGGGAGCTCATATAAAAATCCCCTCAGAGGGAAGGAGAACCAAGAGCTGGAGGAGGGGCTGGTGGCTGCTTCTGGATCTGAATAAAGGGGAAGGGATCTGAAGCCTAGAGAATGCAGACAAATAACTATTCATTTCTTATGATATATACATAGGAAGGGCCAACAGTGGAAGAATTTCTGGCCTAAAATGGGAGGTAGGGGTGTTAAGGAGACCATGAGTAGTAACTGGTCTTTAATTTATTCCCTTGACATATTCCCAGACACTTCCATTATGAAATAGAGGACACCTTGTTGGATGGTGTCTATGCTCTCAGAATCAATAAACTGAGGAAGTTAATTAAGAAAAAACACTACAGCCCTCTTCTCAAACTAAGAAGCAATACTTGGGTCTCTGTCTAGGTGGGGATTGCATCAATGTTACAACTGTTTGTCTAATTTAAGCTCCAAATCTAATTTACTCCAATTTTAAGACAAAGCATCTTGTGCCTGTAACTGGGTCTTAAAAGAGCAAGAAAACAGAATTACTTGAATAACCTAGGTAGGAAAATAATTGCTCTACTGCGTGTATGTAAACGTCTATCATCCCAAATGAGATCTGTATTGGATCTGATCATTCACGAAGTTCTGCACGCTGATCTGCATTGCCACTATCTGTCTAGCGGACAGGAGATGGGCTCCGGCAGGAGATGGGCTCCGTAGTCCAGGTTCCGTGGATGCTAATGCAGGCGGAAACCCAGCTCCTTGGATCGATGGCTCAAACCCAGAGTTAAGCAGGGACCGCCGGCCCAGATCCGCAAACAAAGCAAACCCCCGAGACCTTGTCTTCCGGCCAGGCTGAGCCCCCCACCCTCCCGCGTCGCCCCTGAGAGAGCCCTCCCTTCGTGTGTAGGAAAGCAGGAAAGGGTTTGCAGGGCCCAAGCCGCTGGAGAAACGCACCCTGGAGCCGCCGAACCTCTGCAGAGTGGGCGCCTGGGGGCGCGGAAGGTGGTGCACAGCGTGAGGCGAGTCACCCGCCCGCGGGCCACAGCCGCGCACTCGCCCCGCCTCGGTCTAAAGCGGACGCCTCTCTGTAGCAGCCGGCGTCCAGACAGTTGCTGATTTTCCGCGCAAAGGTCTGAGGCCGGACCCTTTCACGCTGGATCCGGGCCTCTTGAGCGGATGAGCGCTGCTGGCCTACTCTTGAAGTTGCCTCTCCCGAGAAGGCCCGAGACAAAGGCGCGTCGCCGCCCTTGGATGACGCGGGCTACTAGACCTCTCCCTACTCAAGCCTCCTCAACGCTCCGGCCTGGGGACAGGGGACCGAAGAGACGGCTCTGAGACCTCCGTCTAATCTTTCCCCTGATTCACCCTGGGAAGAAACCTAGCGCGCCCAAAAGTCCTGGCTGACGCCGGCAGCTCCGCGCCCGACCGCGCCCGCCGCTCTGGCCGCTTCCCAGGGCTGCCGGGGCCCCCAGGAAGGACGGGATGACCCCTGCTGGCCAGAGCGATGGAGACTGTCTTTCTGGGACCTGGTGCGGCCCAATCTCCAGTCCCTTGAGTTTTCAGGGGACCTTGAAGAACAGCCTGTGTCTGAGGTACTACCTGGTCTGCTGGAACTAAGGTTCTTACGTTTTCTTAGCCAAGCTTGTCACTGGTGGTTCTCCGA